CAAATCTATATATTCGTAAAACAACTTTCTTTAATTTTTTCCTCAAAAGATCAACTTCATCTCATTTTACATTGAGAAAGGGCATAGTCTCTCTGATAATAGGAAATTTAAAGATTTTTTTTCTCTTTTTACCTCGACTTTGTCTATTGACATAAAAATATACAATACCTATAATAATAATAATATTATGAAAATAGAAGGAAGAGGAAATCTAAAAAATATGGCACATGAAGACATCAATAATTCCGTTTGTGACTGGGGCCCTCACTTTGAGTGAAAAAGTTCATAATAGACTTATTGAAAAAATACTAAAAATTGTTTTCACAAATACAGGTCACAAATTACGATGACCTTTATCTATTTAAAATGTGTGTTCTTAAAACGTTGGTTCAAAAATGTTCAGTGGAAAATATCATAGTGCCATTTCTGACCTTAGGTCTCTTACTGGGACCAAGAAAGTAATTATTATACAACATAAATCAAAGGAAAGAAGAAGAAGAAGAAGAAGAAGAAGAAGAAGAAGAAATCGAAATTTCAAAAATGTGGCACATGGGAACATCAACAATCCCTGTTGTAGCTGGAGCCCTCGGATTGTTTGGAAAAGATTCTAGTAGACTAATTGAAGGGATCCCTGGATGATGACGGATTAGTTGCTGTATCTGATACCAATGGTCCTTTAACATTCCAACTACAAAAGAAAATAATTAAAGCTTTCAAATTTCTAGGGTTTAAAATCGAAAGTTCTTCCAACTTAAAAATAGTAAACTTCCTAGACGTTACATTTAATCTGAACAATAACACTTATAAACCCTTCCAAAAGGAAAACCAATCACCCATATATATAAATATCTACTCTAATCACCCGAAATCAATAATTAAACAAATTCCAAATACAGTAAATGCAAGAATAAATAAACTCTCCTCTAGTAAAACCATTTTTAACCAAAATAAATCGGAATATAATAAAGCCCTATTAAAAAGTTATTTTAAACAGACACTAAATTATATATACAAGTCAGTTAATAAGAAATCCACTAAACCCCAAAGATAGGAAAAGGAAAATTATATGATTCAACCCACCTTTTTGTAACCTTTCTAACATTAATATAGGTAAATACTTCATAAAATTGATAGAAAAACACTCTAGTAAAAATGAATTTCTAAAAAAGATATTCAACAAAATGAATTTAAAGATTAGCTATTCTTGCATGAACAATATGGAAAAAAATAATTAACTCACACAATAGTAAAATCTTGAGAGACCTTCAAGATAATCTAACACAAAATCATAATACAACCCAAATGAAAACATCAACATGCAACTGCAGGACAGGATCAGGGTTCCCAGTTGAAGGAATATGCATGGCGGAAAATACAATATATGAAAGAACAATTTTCCTCAAAGAGAAGGTTGAGGAGAGAAAGATATACATAGGAATATCGGCGGGAAATTGGAAACACCGACTGTACAACCATCGCTAATCCTTCAAAAATAAATGTAAAAAGAACCAAACGCCACTGTCAAAACATTATTGGGATTTGTTGGAGGGTGGCCTAACCCCACAAATAAAGTGGAAAATAATATCGAGAGCCAGAAGTCAAAAAAATTTCAGAGACAGATGCGACTTATGCATGAAAGAGAAAATCCTCATAATCAAACATAAAGATCCAGACTTATTACTAAATAGACACAAAGAACTAGTTTTTAAATGCAGACACAAGAACAACCTAAACTTAAGTAAATACATTAAAAAATAACTATATAGGAAGAATAATATTGAATGACCTTTGGTCTTTTTGCCGTTGAAAATGTTACAGTGCACGCATGAGCACGAACACATGACTGTATGTATATAACTATGGTATTGTCCTTGAACACTGATACACTTTTTGATACATACATGTATATGCTTTTATATGGAAAGAGAGGAATACAATGTTTTTTTATGTGAGTGTGAATGTGTATAACTAGATGGGTACTTATATGTCTTGCCATAGATATAGGATAGCGGTTAATATATGTGTAGAGATATGTATAATTATACGGTTTTGTGTATTCATAATGTAATTATATATTGATATTGATATGGTCTTTGAATGCAGGCATAAGTGGCTGTATGTGTGGACATGTGTATATATATATGTATGTCTATATATATATATATATATATATATGTATATATATATATGTGTGTGTGTATATATAGATATATACATATGTGTGTATATATATATATAGAGGTATGTGTGTGTGTGTGTGTATATATATATGTATGTGTGTGATGTATGTGTATATGTATATGTGTGTGTGTGTGTGTATATGTGCATATGTATGGATGTACATATATGGGCATTTATATGTGTATGTGAATATGTGTATATGTATATATGATAAACATATAATATATATATGTGTGTATGGATATATATATATATATGTGTATGTGTGGATATGCATGTAGATATGTGTGTATGTTTTTCTCTATAGGTCTATATGTGTAGATATGGGAATATACATATAGTTTCTGTGTAATTGTGTGTGCATATATATATACATTATTCATAAAATATATATTGGAGATATAGGTATGTGGATATAGATCGGTGTTCGGATATGTGTAGAGGTGTGTATGTGTATGGCTTGTAAAAGAAGGACCTAATTTTCTCTTAGTAATGTTTTATCCACGTTTCTCCTCTAGGATTCTCCAATTGGAAGTGAGTTTAAATAATACGGAGGTAAATTTTAAATTGATAATTTAATTTAAATTGAAATATATTACCCTTTAATAATCATTATTGATGATAAAATTATTTAAATTGGAAAACCTTTGATAATTAAGTATCTAAAAACAGTCACGAATTTAATTTATGAACAAAAATCAAACGAATAGATGTCAACTTAACAATCTATAAGAAAAAAGTTTAGGAAAATAAAAAAGATTACTAGATATAAAATGGATTATTCTTTCATTGTACTTTCTATGATTTTTCCAATCGATTATTTCATAGAAAATACCCAAAACTCCAACAAACTTCAAATTAAATTCTTCGTAGATTTTTTAGACATTTAGATTTATATCAAACTTTAACCCCCAAATATACCCTTTAAAGTAATGCGAAATAACAGCGTCTAAGAATTTGAGTGAAACCTGCGCTCATGGACATGATTTATTATTTTATTGTTTGCTGTATCTTCTCACTTTTAAGTCGGTCTTCTCCCTCACCCCTTACCCATCTATATCTAGAGATAACATAGGTTAAGTTCAAGCGGCGTCTAGCCTACACAGAGTGGGGTTAAGGATAAGGAATTGAAATGGTGCATCTAACTCACTCATATCTTCTCTCCCACCTCACTTCCTCACTTCGTTAATTTCACATACGCTTGGTGCGGTCCGTCAAAAATATGTAAGTTTCTTTTCATTTTTCATTTCAACTTTTGGAAGTAAAGTCTGATTATCCAGAGCCCTTTAAAAGGGTTGTGGTGAAATAACTTATTACATCGAAACTTAAAGTGATCTGTTTTTATTCAAACAAATATATATATATATATATGTGTGTGTGTGTGTGTGTGTGTGAAAAGTGTGTGTATATATATATATAAATATCAATATATATATATATATATATTTATATATATATATATATATATATATATATATATATATATATATATATATATATATATATATATATATATATATATATATTTTAAACTATAAAAAAAGAGGATATATAGTAGTTCCAACGAGATATAAGTGTGTATATTAAAAAGAAGAGAGAAGCCGCAAACGTTTTTAATTGTAATGTTTTTCTTCCCATAATTTTGCTACCCGTTTTTCCGGTCTCGCGACCGTCATCAGGCAAAGAGTGGAGATTTCCACATATTATTAAAAATAATTCATGTTTTTCCATGTTAAATATTCTCGATATGCGACATTTTCTTTTTTGTGTTAGTGATCTAAACCTCTTTCTTGAATTGTCAGGGAAAGGTTCTGCGTGAAGGGTTATAAAACAATTAAGATTGGTTCCAGAAACGATGGAGTAGTTGTCGGCATGCTTATCTTTTAATGACCCCTGTCATTTGTGTGCTTTTGTCAGCATGCGTGTATATATGTGGATATCCCTCTACATACATATTAAACTATATATATATATATATATATATATATATATATATATATATATAATAACCCCTCTCCATACATATTAAAATATATATTAAATAACCCACTCTGCCTTATTGGTCTCACATTTTCTACTGACCTGATGTGTTGGAATTATATTGTATCATCTGTTAGTTCTGCTGCAAGGAAATCTTGTTCATTGTATCGTGCCAGATAATTTCCCTTACCAAAATCCATCTAAAACATTTATAAATCAATCATTCGTTCATTGATTGCCATGTCTGGTGCCCGAGTTATTCGTCCCATTCCAAAGAATATTCGTAATGTTATCATTCCTGCCTTGACATCTCACCTTCAGACATAATCCCCACCGATCTGACGTGGCTTACCTCTATCCATTCTATAAATATTTTCAATGGGATTTGTTCACATGAGCTCTCTTCCGTGGTACTCTAATCACATATACTATAAGATTGGTAGATAGGTCTTTTCATTTTACTGTTGAAATAGATAAATATAACTGTAAGTTTCTTTTATCGCATGTAGAACTCACTTCCGGTGACTTGCTTCTCTGCCATCTACAATCATCAGGAATTTAAATGTAACGTCAATTGCCAAAGTCTGACTCCTTTATGGCTGGACTTTTATAGTCCTTTCTCATCACTATATTATTCTGATTTATTTTCACTCCAAATAACACTTGCGTGTTCAGGACATTAACGATTTCTTGGGTGAAATGATTAAAAAAAATCAAACACATGAATGTATATATCTGTCTTATCAATGATTCTTCGCCAAACGTGGTTGACTGTAAAACTTCGTACTTAATGAACTGACATTCAATATCATTACCCGGGAGAGGTCGTAAGGTCACTGCTATATAGATAGATAAATATGAAGAGACTGAGATAGATAGATAGATAGATAGATAGATAGATAGATAGATAGATAGATAGATATGAAAAACTGAGATAGATAAATAGATAGATATTAGGAGAATGATATATATATATATATATATATATATATATATATATATATATATATATAGAGAGAGAGAGAGAGAGATAGATAGATAGATATGCAGAGACAGAGATACATAGATAATAATGTGATATATATATATATATATATATATATATATATATATATATATATATATATATATATATATATATAATATAAGACCAAGATAGATAGATATGCAGGCAGATGCATAGAAAGATGGATATGAAGAGACTGATTTGCATAGATAGATTGATAGATAGGTATATATATATATGAAGAGACTTAGATAGATAGATAGATAGATAGATAGATATAGATAGATAGATAGATAGATATTAAAAACTGAGATAAATACATAGATATGAGGAGAATGATATAGATAGATAGATAGATAACATGATAGATAGATATTTATAAAAAGAGACTAAGATAGATATGAAGACAGATGCATAGATAGATGGATATGAAAAGACTGATTTGCATAGATAGATTGATAGATAGGTAGATATATATGAAGAGACTTAGATAGATAGATAGATAGATAGATAGATAGATATGAGGAGAATGATAGATAGATAGATAGATAGATAGATAGATAGATAGATAGATAGATAGTCCGAAAAGAAATGACTGACTGATAGATAGATAATGAAGACTGAGATAGATAGATAGATAGATAGATAGATAGATAGATAGATATGAACGGACAGTTACTGATGGCGAGAACTTTAGACAGAGGAGGAGTGGTCGGAAGAGAATAGAAAAAGTATAAAAAAAGGACTTACATTTTGATGGGAAGCCTTCAAGTGAACTATTAGTGGATTAAAAGTATCAGTTTTCTTTTTTAACCAATCACAGCAAACCTGCCACTTCACTGGCGATACCGCCTTTTTAATCCATATCAATTGACAGGCTGTACTTTCCCTATTGCGTTTTTTTTTTTCTTTCGTCTTTCATTATTTGACAAATTCTGAAAACAGACAAGAGGATTTTGTCGTGTTCCAACCGGATGACGTCTGCAGTTTGGAGATATTTGCAGGCCGACAATTCATTTTATTACTGGCTTCATTGATGTGTTGCTTTTGTTTTTCAAACTACATTTCAGCAGGTTCATCAGTACATTGGCTGCTGAATAGAAAACGTGAAAGCTGTCTTGTTTTAGTGGATTTGTTAGGGGTGGAAGGAGCGTCGAAGAAAAATGGAAAATGGAAAAAAAGGACATACCTAAGGCCATAAAGGACATATGAAATTTCTTAGATGCATAATAAGTAAGGAAGGCTTGGGTATCTAATGCGCGCAGGTAATATCGAAGGATGGGCAGGGAAATTAGCGGGCCAGGCCACCTATCCAAAAATCTTGTGTGAATTGGGACGAGATTGTAGAAAAATGGGAAAATGGATAAACGTTGATAAGGGATTCAAGCAATAGGAGGTTGTGGACAACCATGATCGCCCAGGATTTGAAAAAATACGTCGCATAGAAGAAGAAGAAGAAGAAGAAGAAGAAGAAGAAGAAGAAGAAGAAAAGCAAGCAGTAAAGATAAGCAGATAAAGGTAGAAAGAATACGTAGATGAAGGAGTGAGGTAAGTCAATGTAAGAAGAAGAAGAAGAAGAAGAGGAAGAAGAAGAGGAGGAGGAGGAAAAGCAAACAATAAAGATAAGCAGATAGAGATACTAAGAATACGTAGATGAAGAAGTGAGGTGAGTCAATGTAAGAAGAAGAAGAAAAAAGAAAAAGAACAACAACAACAACAAAACAACAACAACAACAAGAAAGCCGATGGAAATACAAAGAATACAAAGATGTAGAAGTGAGGCTTAGTTAATAGAAGAAGAAGAAGAAGAAGAAGAAAAGAAAGAAAGAAAGAAGAAGAAGAAGAAATGAAAAAGAAGTGGGTATATTTTAACAGGCTAATCTCTTTGAGAATATACAGTTTGAACCGAATAACTTGGTTCGAGATTCCTGAAATTTTATCAAGTAAGACAAACAACTGAAAATGGCCGGAGAGTGTTACAGCTGAATTTTTTTCTATTTCATACAAGATGACTAAGAAAGCGATACCAGGCAAAAAAAAATCAATGTATAATATAAATGCAGAAATTATTTTGAAGCTACAAAAAAATGGGATTCTTGTGATAATGCGATTAGGGTCTAATTACAAATACTTGAAGAAAGCCGCAGTGTACAAGAGTCGAAACGACATAATAACATAGACGAGGCCATTAGTTCGAAAACTGTGATAATTCTTAATCCCGGACATTTAAAAAGAAATGAGTGTCAGGCCAGTACATCTTTACTGACAGGAGCATATCAATTGTAAATTACTATGGGTTTAATCAGCAAACAATCGTGGAGTAGAATTATTTTCAGTCATTTTACAAGCCATTGCAAAAATGAAGATGCTCCAATTCAACCAGGAACCAAGTGTATAATAAGTCACAACAATTAACACTGTCCATGACTTCAAATATGTCGGCTTCTAGACGTCAAACTTATTAAAAGACTTTCAGGGAAAAATGATATAGTTTGCTTATCCTCCAAGAAGCTGTCGAATGTATAAACCTCAAATAAATCAAACCTCAGCCAAGGTATGCATATTCCTGGCTAAAGTAGAGTCAGTCCTCCTGTATGCAAGCGGAACATGGACCACTGATCAAACCTTCTTAAAAGAGACAAGATGGATTCTTCACTAGAATGTTTAGAACGACAGTTAAAAAAAATGGCGTGGCAATTTAACTTACGAGCAACACCATGGAAAGCTAATCACATTCGCGAAGAACGAGGAACCTTGCTTGATATTGCTTTCCGCCATCCAGAAGAAATTGCATCAAAACTTGTTGTATGGCAAACATCTACCTGACAAAATAACATGAACCGGTGGCAAGCCATGACGTTCCCAGTTAAGCTTACACAAATCCCTCGGATAGAAAATATAGATGGTGTTAAAACAACTATGATGGAACGGGACAGTTGTAAGCAACGTGTTAGGCTGTTGGTGTGGAGACTTGACGAAACTAACTGAAAACTTGACGTGCTGTTTGATTTATTGACGTTGACGATTAATTTATACAATAATTTCTTTGAAAAACCTTGTGATCATCTGGAACTATAATAATAAGTTTGAAAATACCAATAAAACGTCATTTCTCTCACATCTTTTCTGCTCAGTACTTCTTTCCCTGTAAATTTTCTTTTTATATATCGCCATTTTTTTTATTTTTGTCTGCTACTCTAACGAACATACTCGTCTGTACTTCAATATCATTCTTTATAGAGTTGCCATTTTCCATCCATTAGAAAATACAAAAAGATTTTCATGGATTTTTCCTCAATAATTCACACTTTTTTATCGCCTACTAGTAGATATCGGCGACTACCTATTGTGTCGTTATTGGCTTCGAGATATGGGTAAAAGCCAAAAACAAATATGAAGCCAGAATAGAAAACTAGTGGCTATAGTCTTGCTGCACAACAAAAATAAAAATTCATTTAGAATAAGTATGATTTTATAAGTACATTGATGTATTAACATGTTTAAAGTTTCCATTCCATAGGCTATATGCACGTATAGAATCCGCCATGTTTTAAAAGAGAAAATTTCAATAAAAATGTAAAAAGTAAGTTTATGCGTTTGAACTTCAATTTGTTAAAATTTATTTTTTTTTAGAATTTCCCAGGAAAAAATTAATATCAAAGTGAATTTTTGAAAAACATTATTCTTGTTGTTTGAATTTTGAATTAGTGTAGACTGTGGTATCCGAAATTTTATTATGGACACTTGCGAATGAAAGATAATGTCGTTTAAAGCGATATGTTTTGGTGGTTTTAAACTTATTATATAAGACGAAAACTTTAGTAATATCGACGTCAGTTTTTACTGATTGCAGAATAAATACGTTGCCGATCATTTAACATTCTACAGTCTTTCATTTCCTTTGTTTGTCAATGTGTTTGGCGCATGCGTGTTCTTAATTCTACAATGGTACGACTTTTCTCTCTTCTTTTCTATTGTTTTTTCTCTTTCATTTCTTTCTACGTTTCTATTACCTCTTCTCTCACCTATTCTCATGTTTCAGTTCTTTTACTATTACTTTTTAAAAACTTTCTGATCTCTCTCTTTTTTTTCTCTTTTAACTGTTTTTTTTCTCGTTTTCTCTTATTTTTTATATTTTTCTCCTTTTTTTTCTTTCATTCTTATTCTTCGATGACCTTATTCTTTTACTGTATTCTCCTTTCTAAATGCTTTTTTTTTCTTGCCGTTCTGTTTTCATGCCTTCTGTCTATTTTTTTTTCCTTTTTCTGTGGGTTTATTTTTAATTTTGCCACTTTATTCTACGTTTTCTATTTCTTCTTTTCTCCTTATATTTCTTTCATTCCAGACCTTCCTTTTCTCTATTCATTCCAGTTTCACCCTAGACCTCAAGTAGAACACATAACTACGATCCATCGCTAATGGAGCCTAAAAATTAATCGGCTTCCTATACAGGTCCCGAAAGTTCCTGGCATCTATCTATACATATTTACTTGTACCTATGAGGTTGGACCAAAAATGCCGTATTACTATCGTATTTAAGCAGTTTTGTGGGCATTGAATTAGTTTTCCACACTACAACGCTTTTCCCGTAGTCGGAACGTCGTTAGCCTCTCTACACTCACTCGACGTTTCTTTGATACTGTTCTCATGAGCTCTGTTCATTATTTCCTTTACAGCTAGAAATTGCCAATCATGACGAATCATCCTCCATCTCTTCGGATGCTATTGTTTGAAATAAAGTACCATTCGGAAAACCTCTTCCAATTAATCGTTAATTTGTAGAAATTCTCAACCTCAAGTCTTTGATCAAACAATTCTTAATCTACGAGTGGTTAGAACGTTCGGATTCTGACCATGAGACCCGGTTTCGAATCTCGTCTCGTAGCAAACGGGTATCCTCGAATACGAGTGGCCAACTATACATATATTTTTACCATCCCCCCTGAAACGTCAATACAACATCATTGAGTATGTCTTTAGCTTGAAGGGCTCTTGAACCTTGTATTGCGCAAATATTTAGTTAGAAGAAGGCATCATTTCGAAAAAAAAATTAATTAACAATGATAAATTTTCAACTCAAAAATTTGAATGTACCCACCCACAAAAGTCTTCGAGTTGGTAATAAGACTAAGGTAAGCCTACAGTTATTGCTCACGTTGTTTTCTACTAATTTCAGGTATGCACTGTCAGACTCAGAGATATTATATCAATATATTCACGACCCAACGCTTGAATGCGTTACCCTATTGCTCCGTAGGATAATCCCTGTAGGGCAAACGATTTAATATAACATGAGGTAGGCCGGAGGGCACAAGATTTGTTTCTGGACCTGAGTTTCATTTTCAATTTTATTCAGTGGTGTCTAAAACAAGCAAATATAAATTATACTTCTTCATTATATAACAAAAGTTATCAAGGGATTTCAAATTGATAGTTACTTTATTGTTTAGATTTATTTGATAATACCATAGTATTCATATTACTAAACAGTAGATATGGGAAATAAATTTCTACATTTTTGGGTATGGCAGCAAACTACATCCGCGTCCTGGGTAAAGAAAGTCCGAAATGAAAACTAGTTAAACTGATACTGACATAGATAGATTAGATGTGAAAATTGTGATCCATCACTATTCGATATCTTCATTTTTTTTTTTTTTTTTTTGGTTGAAACACTCAGAAGTGAAAACGAGATTAACGCCACGGCCGCGATCATGAGACACTTGCCTTTTTTTTTCTTTTTTTTTAATTCAGACCTCAACAGTCGTTTTTCGCTTGGCTTCTCTGGAGTTTAATGACGATCTGGATTCGAAACTGAAACGATATATGCTCCATTAAATTACTAATTCACATGTCTTGATCTCGTTGTATTTTTTCGAAACTTCTCAGAGTCAAAGTTATTTTGTCACGTTGAATGATTGAGGCACTCAGTTCAAACAACGAATGCATTGTTTATTTTGTCTGACCTTGTGACATTTTAGTGGTCAATGTCGCGTGGACAATTTTTCGAAATCAACGTAGTTTAAAGCAAACATCATATATCGCCTTTTTCTTTTTTTCTTTTTCCTTTTCTTTTACTTGTTCGTTTTCTTGTCCATAATTTTATTCTTTTTTATTATTTTTGGCTTTCTTTGTTTTTTTCTTTTCTTCGACATACTTTATTTTCTTAATCTTTTCCGTTTTCTGATTCGACTTTTCTTAAAACCTTTCTTTCACCTTTTTCTACTTCTTTTGTCTTTCTTCATTTTTAATCGTTTTTGTTTTCTTTATCATTGTTCTTCTTCTTTTTCTCTTTCTCTTTCTCTTCTTGTCTTTCTTCGTCGGTTTCTTTTTCTTCGTTTTTCATGTTTCCATTTACTGTTTTGTTTTGTTCTCCTTTTCTTTCTCATCTTTTTTCTTTTTCTTATCATTCTGCTACTTTTTCTGTTACTTTTCTTTTTCTTCTTTTTTCTTTTCCTTCTTATTTCTCTTTTTCTTCTTCATCGTCAAATTTTTCTCCTTTTTTTTTTTTTTCTTTACTCTTTTTCTTATTCTCCTTTTCTTTTTCTTTTTTTCTTTTCTCATATTCTTCTGCTATTTATATTCTCTTACTTTTCTATTTTTCCTTTTTCTTCTTTCCTTCATCTCTTCTTACGTTCATTCTTCTTCTTCTTCTTCTTCTTCTTCTTTTTTCCTTGTATCTCTTTCTGATTTGTGCACCTTTCCTCCCAGGTTCCACCTAGATATATAAGGTAAAAAAAAAACACACTTTACAAACATTCTACTTGTGAGTAAGTGTGAATACATTTTTTTATATTTCTTTAAGGGATGGGCTAGCAAGAATCCCTTCATGCAATCTATCAGAACCTTTTCAAATCAATCCGAGTGCTCCAAATGCAACCGGAATTACTGATAGCCTCATGAGCCACACTTTTGCGATTTCCACTTCAAGATCCTTGTATTAAAATAGAAGAATTTTTAGTTTATGTATATTATTTTCATTAAAATGTATAGATGTATTTTCAACAAGTTTTCTAAATTGCGAATGTGAACAGGCGTGCTACTGTAAATGTTTAGAAACATCAGATGCATCATTCAAATTATAATTCCGATGTAACGTGTGACCAACATAGTTTTTGAAGATCTTCAAACATACATTGCAAACCTTCAGCGACTGCTATGTCTGTTCTTTCAGTCTTTCATCACGTTTATTATTATTAATATTAATATTCAAAATGATTGACGTAACTCTTCCAGTATTTTACAACACTTTCATAAGAGTGAGATTCACAGAAAGGAAAAGGAAATGAAAAGAAATGACACACTGCTTAACAATATGTGTGTGTCGTCGTCAAGCTTTTGCAAAAGACAAATGCACTGAAACCAAATTTTAGTATCTGTTCTCCTCTTTGCACAATTAGGGAACCTTCATACCGGGGATACCAACCTTGTTCAACCCTCATTTGATTATTTCCGATGTACTCTGCAGGAAACATTTGGCATCTATTTATGAAGCGCTCTACATAAAACATCTAGCACCCAGTATAAATCACAACTTATTTAACAACGGAAATAATGTGCTATAAGTATTTTAATCTTTTAAATGGAAAGTCGCCAACTCAGTTTCCAGCCATGTTTCATTCACAAGGCTCGGAATAAATGCTATTACTATAGGCATCACACAACTACAGCTTAAAAAATCAACCACGAAAAGAAATTAACAACAATAAACAACAAACCCATTAAAAATTGCAAACGGAGTAACCGAAAGCGCTTGGGACAACTGATTCTACATAAAAAATTTTCTACTCCCGTAAGCCCAACACACCGTAAAATCTAAGAATAGTCAAAATACTCAGTAAAATTCAGCAAATTT